CGCGGGGGGATTTTCAGCCTCACGCTCCCGACGAGCGGCTGGGATCGGCGTGTCCTCGGGCAAGGATGCCGTGGGCCACGTCCTGCTCAGCCAGGCCCACGTCACCCACGACCCACCGGGACGGATCTGTCACTTCAGGTGGTTTATGAAACAGCATGTCTGTACACATTGCTCCTGCGCATACTTTAAAATAAAGCTGATTTTCTAAAGGATGATCTGGACCTAATTAAACCTCCATTAGGGCTGAGCGCGTGACAGAAGAGCCATAGCCAGAAAATGATTTCTGGCACCTGGAACATCAATGCATCAGATGAAACACAGCTGGGCTCCACTGCCACCCGCTCCGAGGGAAACTGCGGGAGATGCTCGGGTTCCCCTTCCTGTAGCTGAATAAAATGGGCACTGGATTTAGAGCCTGAAAAGCCCAATCTCCTCCAGTTTCAAAGAATTCTCCTACTCCCTTTCTTATTCCTTTTCTGCTTAGTAAGAAAGTCTAAATATATAAGCTTCAAACGCTTACTCCTTCAAACATGGAGAAACACACATAGCATTTACTGAGCCTCCCCAGCTTGTTGCTTTTTGTTGTTTGTTTTTTTTTTTTTTCTTTTAAAAGGGAACATCTTAATTTTAAGTATTTGAGAATGGCAACAGGAAAGTAAACATTCCACTTGAAGGATTTCTCCAGGAAGCAGAAACACAAGTGCATAGATACTTACATTAAAGGATGTTTTTTACAACATGAGCCTACTCAATTGGCTCATTACAGCTGTAAAAATAAGCGATTTGGCTTATTTCTAGTGTGTTTATGAGTAGAACAGCACAACTAAGGGTTTGGTAATCCCCACAACAGCAGGAGGTTGCAGCAAAAAGAAGTCACTTCCATCCCCAGCCCAGAATCCGCCCATCACTGAACCCCTGAGTCCTGCCCTACTTCAGCATCCCGAATCCGGAGTCTCTGCCGAAGCACAGGAGCTCACTGGGCTGGTGGGTACCACTGTGACCGCCCCACCCGAGAAGCAGATTCCTCACATTTGGAGGGAAAAAAGCCTCCCGGTTATCAAAGGTATCCGCCACTTCTGGGCAATAACAGCAATTGCTGAAAAACTCTCGGGCAGCCAAAGATCTTGCTGTGGAGATGGTGCCGATTTCAGCAAACAGACACTTTCAGAGAATAAAGGGGGCATGAGACAGGAGACACGGCCCAACACGGGAGCGGAAAACCAGGCAGGGAGCGCTCTGCGCCGCAGCACAAGAAAATCACCGTGTAAACTGTCTCCAGGAGTACAGAAATGCTCCCGGCAGTGAAGAGTAAGGGCAGAGGCGTTAAGAAACACTGTCCCCCAGCTCTGAGGAGGGAGTTTCTGCCAGACTGGTGCCCAATCATTCTGACACAGCACAATTTGTTTCTTAATCGGTGCTGCCACCTTGTGAAATTCCACTGCTTCACCAGTTGGGGGGCTTCCGAGTGCCAAGTTTGCAGGCGGCTCATGCTGGAGATCCTCTTGCAGTGCCGACCACTGGAAGCACCCAACAGCCTCCTGGAAAACTCAAACACCCACAGCACTCCGGAGCCGGTCAGTCCCACTTACTGCACCCACCGAGTCGCTTTTTGGTGTTCCTTCATTCATGCCCGAGTGGAGTCACTCAGATCCCAGAGGGATTTGGGCAGCAGTGCAGTAAGCGAATGAAAAGGCCCAGTAGCTGCCTGAAACCGCTTTCAAATCCTGTTTTTCATGATCAAACCTTCAGGGTGAAACACGCTATAAACCTTTTATCTTCAGCAACAACACGAAGACAATCACAAATGCCTTCCCTCAGGATGAATCGCTCAGGCGAGCGCACAGCGCCTGTCAGAGGTGTGAACAGTGTGGGACAGAGGCACCCAATGAACGCAACACACCCAGGCCCGGTGAGGAACAGCCTAACATCGATAAACCAGGAACTGCAGAGCCAAAACCCCAGAAGGGCTCACAGGGCTCCCCCTCAGACCGAGGAACAGCAACACCGCAGCCCGTGCCTCCAGCTCTGGCTTCAGCAAGAGCGACAGGGACAGGCCCCGGAGGCAGCTCTGGCCAACAGCTGAAGCAAACACATTTGAAAAGCAAACCTGCTTCACAAACCTCCTCTGCTTAAAGGAAACGGCATCACAGAGCCATTAGTTCTTCCCACTGTAACCACACCCCTCCATTTCACCACACCTCAACCATCAACGCAGAAGTCAGTAACTCCAGTGCAGAAGAGAGAAAGCACGAGCTCCCCTGTTGGAGGTTCCTTTGAAAAAGCATCGGGGTGCATTAGCACAGCGTGATAAAGCTTTGACTCACCCCAACCACATTTAAACAGGATCAAACCCATGAAATTATATTCTTTATTTCCATTTTCCAAGTTTCAGTTAGAGTATCAGCTTCAAAAATAAAAGGATGAGTTAAGGTCAAGTAAACTCGCGGCACAATTGAACAGCAACCCCAGTCAACGACAGGTCCACAGGTGAAACTCCAGGAAACATCGTCTTTATGCAAGTTAAATACTGCGCCCCTTCACTAACACAAGGCAAGAGGAGTAACATATTTCACCTTAAGGCGAGAGGAGTAACATATTTCACCCTAAGACAGCATCTAAAAGATTACTGGAAGTACAGGAATAGACTATAAAAAAGCAAAATTTCCTATTTCCAATGATATCAGTGTAGTAAAATAGTAAGTTGAAAAATATTTACAAAGATATCTACACAACTCCTAACAGTGCTGAGACGATGCTCCAATGCACTGAAATTGCTGACACCATCATTGCCTTCTGCAAAGCAGCCGTCCTCTCCCAAGAGCCGACCGGATCTCCCCCTCAGTCCCACTCCAATTAAGAGCCATCTTGTTGGTCTTCAATCTTTGGAGCCAGGTAGTATTTTAAGTGTCCCATATCAGCAATCTTGTACTCCACAACTGGGAAAGAGAAAGAAAAACAAACGGTATTGGGAAGGTGCTTCAGAAAAGCGGTTCAATCAAGAGTTCTTAAGGCAGTTCTACGGTGGCAGCATTCCCCCAGGGTGTTTTCAAGGAGAGCTGCTGCTACTCACCCAGAGGGACATCCGCAGACATGCTGAGCGTTACTGTGGGTGACAGGGGAGTGGCTTTGGTGAAGAAGTTGAGGTACCTCAGAGCAAAGGTCAGTTGGACTGGCTCATTCATCTCTATTGTCACCTGGAAAACCACCAGCCAGGTTAGACCACGGTGAATGCCACAAGTTCCCTCAAGCCTCTCCCACAACTGAGACACCTGATGCCGAGGCAGTCACGGTGCTTCTCCCCGATCTGCCGAGCGCTGCTCGCAGGCGCCGGGGTAAGAACCTAAAGTCAGCAGCGATTTGTTGACTCTGATCTATAAACCAGAGAAATACATGACCCAATCGCCCAGCTTTGGTCCCCAACAGGTCAGAGAATTAGTCGTATTAGTAGAAACCTCAATATTGGAGACACCACAGTAACCATGACGGCTTAACTTACAGCTTCCTCCTCTTTATCCACGTTACTGGTCTGTGACAGTTTGATGTTCCCATTTCCCAGTTCTCCGTTTGCTGAAAATTTCACACCATCTTTCGCACAGGAGATGACAACTGCATCACCGATGTGGCTGAGATCTCTACAGATGCGTGCGAATTCAGCAGAGGGCATCTTCACTACACAGCTATACTCTTGTTCCTGCAAAGGGAGTGTTGTAATTAAACTCCTACCAAGACGTGTGGTGCAGTCACTGTGATTGAGTTTGTCTTTCCAAAGGAAGTTCTGTCACAGGCTCAAACTCTTAAATCTGATGTAAATGCGGGGAAAAAGCCTATTTCTATGAGACAGCACAGTCAGTGTTTTGAGCCACTACTTACTGGAATTCCAAGCTGCTCCACATCGAGATCCATGAGCTTCATCTCATAATCGGAAACTTTTTCCTGATCTAAAGAAACAAAGCACAGTTTGACCAAGTCTTTCCATGAAGTCATCATCCTGAATTTAAGTTTTGCCTCTTCCCACGTAAAACCACCTCAATCATGACAGTGAGATCCACCTTGGTTAATTAGAGCTATAGATCTGAAAGTGACCCAAACAGCCTTTTGTGGGCTGTAAGAGGACAGTGACCCACATCAGGAATATCTGTACATGGCACTAAAAAAAAGTCTTCCTCTTACAAAGAAAGTGTTGGACAAGTTGACTGAATGGTTTCAAGAACTTAAATACCAGCTGTCCCCTCCTGTTTCTGGGCTATTTATTGTTATTTCCTTCCCCCTATATCTCCATGACTTATGACTACCTAGAAATACCGTGGTGGCGAATTTGTTCCTTCCAGCATCTGAAAGGGGATGAGGAGGAACAGTTTTACACTGAAAGAGGGGAGATTTAGAGGAGACAAAGGGGGGGAAAGGATCACATTCAGCTTTGCTTGGGCAGGATGTATGCTGGAGCTCGTAAAAAGGCTGTTTCAGGCTTTGGCATCTCTTCCTGGGAAGAGGGCAGCGGGGAGAACTCCAAAGGGTTTTTTTGGGAGCGGGAGAGGATGAGATTCAGGACCCCCTCTGCTGGGAGAGTTGGGGGTGTTCAGCCTGGAGAAGAGAAGGCTCCAGGGAGACCTTAGAGGCCCTTCCAGTGCCTAAAGGGGCTCCAGGAGAGCTGGGGAGGGACTCTGGATCAGGGAGAGGAGCCAGCTTGGAGCAACCTGGGCTGGTGGGAGGTGTCCCTGCCCAGGGCAGGGGGTGGGACTGGGTGGTCTTCAAGGTCCCTTCCAACCCAAACCATTCTATGATTCTATGAAAAGTAACACTCACTTGGTGCTTCAAACACTAGAGCCAGCGTGTCCGCATTGTCTTCTGCTCGCAGAGTTATGATGTCCTCGTTTCCAGCGCATTTCAGTATTTTGGACATGCTGCGGGGGGAGGAGGTGGGTTACTCCCAGGAGGACAAGCGGACGGCGCAGGGACGCGCACCCATCGCCTATTACGGGGCGCAGAGCGGGGAGCGAGCGACCGCCATCCCCCGGCGCCATGGCGGCACCGCTCGCCCCCC